TATAACCTATAGCTCCCATACAACTGATTGTTCAGATATAAAATTTTGCGTTATAACTCCTCCATTTATATAGCTAGGAACATGAAATTCCGCACTGTTTTCAATAATTATCTACAGAAAACTTACCGCGAAAATTAAAAAGATCGGGTAACTATAACCTATAGCTCCCATACAACTGATTGTTCAGATATGAGATTTTTCGTTATAATTCATCCATTTATGTAGCTAGGACCATGAAATTTCGCGCTGTTTTCACTCATTATCAACAGAAGACTTACCTCGAAAATAATAAAGATCGGGTCACTATAACCTGCAGCCCCCATACAACTGATTGTTCAGATATGAGGTCTTTTATCATAACTCCTCCATTTATGCAGCTAGGAACATGAAATTTCGCACCATTTTCACTCATTATTAACAGAATACTTACAGTGAAAATAACAAGGATCGGATGACTACAACATATATCTTCCATACATCTGATTGTTCAGATATGGGATTTTACTGTAAAACTCCTTTATTTGAACAGCTAAAACCGATAAATTTCGTAAGATATTTTATAAATAATAATACAAAGTCTACTGAGAAAATCGTCAAAATCTATGCTGTATAAGCTTTATCTCCTATACCACTGATTGTTCAGATACCAGTTTTTGCGATATATCTTCTTTATGTAGGAAACTAAACCCAATAAATTGTGTTACCGGTTTACATACCGATCACATAGCAGTGAAAATCACTTAGATTGGTGCCATATAAAGTATATCTTCCATACTTCTGATAGTTTAGATGCGATTTTTTATATAAGTATGTAACTCCTCTATCGATGTATGCAGATGTTTTCAAAATCAGTAATCTGCCAAACTAAAATTTGCAGATGTTCATGAAAGGTATGAAGCCTTCGGCATAGCCGAAGACAGCGCTGCTCTTACTTGTTCTATATTTTTTTTTGCGATGTTGCTTTGACCAGGGCTTGAACCCAGGCGTTGCGGAGTTGACGCGCACTGCTTACCACTACACCACAGCGGCCGACAGTGCTTTAAAACACTATTTTTATTCATAAAAACTCCATTTTTGGAGGTATTTTCAAATCAGTCCAGCTCGCTTAAATCTTAATATTTTTCCGAAATATTTTGGTCGACGTCTTAAAATATAATAAATTTTGTAATCCCGGCCGAAAAACCCCAATTTTTTTTGGTTATGCAGTCTAATGTACACATGTTGCTTGGCGTAATATGTCGTAGACGCGTGCAGAACAGTGATGATAAAGTTGCCACAATTGTGCTTTTTTGCTACAATTTGAAACCAAAAAGTACATTGACACCACATAGACCTTTTTGGTACAATTTTGAAATGCAGCACTGTATATATTTCGATTGATTTTATATTTACGTTGGTTAAAAACTTCTACTTATTTATACAAATACTTTCTTCCTTCTCTACTGCATACAAACTTCGCCACTACAAGGTTGGCAATTCCGATTTCTTATATACATGGTTTTGTCCTTTTCTACTTCACACCTTTTCTACCGGAGCATGAGAAGTTAAAAAATTTAAATATATGCGAGTTTTGGGAACAAATTAAATTAATTAAAAACGAACTGAACGACCCGATGATTGCAAACCTTTTTAAAATATTTCAAGGTATATTGTCTATTCGACATGCTTCCGCAAATGTTGAACGTATATTTTCTGTTCAGAATCTGATTAAAACTAAACGTAGAAATAGATTACAAATAAAAACCTTCGGTTCTTTAATAAAAGCAACAGATTATATCAAATATTCTCAAAATTCTTGTCATGATATAAAAATACATACAGTCTTTAAACCAAAATGTGACTTACGATCTCACAGAAAGTGAAATGCTTGACAAATTTTTCTCTAATTTTAATACATATATCGATGGTTCTGTGGAATAACGACACTATTCAAAATTCAAGAAATAAAAACTGTTACTACTGTTAAGTGACTTTTGTTTTAATCCTTGTCGAAT